AATAATAATAATAATAATAATAATAATAATAATAATAATAATAATAACAACAACAACAACAACAACAATTTCACTCCTCCACTTTCCTGCTCTTTCTATTCCCATCAACTATCATAATTTGCCAGTTAAAATGTTAGTTTGTTTACCTGAAGAGTCTGCAAACTCTCCTTTACTTGCACCAGTTACTGGTGCACAGATATTTGACACATCCTGGAAAAAAAAACCCATGATAAGTTATTAGATATACTTTTTAATAAGTAACATAAATTTAATATAGACATATTTCTGTGATTAGAGGAACTTTTAATATAATGGAAAGCAATAGTGCAATTGGTAGAAACAAGACCTTAGATCTGTGTGCAAGTATGCCTTAAGTTTGGTTATAGAACCTATAGTACTGTAGTTCCTTGTGACAGTACTGCCAATGGATCCATCTGGTTTGGTATCAGCACATAAATGATATTGGCTTGGTTTGGAAGCAATCAGCATTTGGACCTGATTAGTACTGGGATGAGAGGCCATTGGAGTAAAACATCCTGGAATTGGGTGGCAGCAAACTACTGCTGTAGAGTTGCCAACATCCCCCCCTCTCCCCTGCATGGTTGTGTTCACAGGATCATGCTCAGGATGTAAAAAGTAAGAAAGATGACATTGACAGAGTTATGAAGAATCTGTTACCTAAGGCAAAAGGGGCTAAATATTTTTCAGGTCCAGAATGAGATAACATTCAGAAGAGGCTTAGTCAGATGCTTCCCTAATTTACTGGACTATAAGAAGGAAGCAGAATCAGACTTGCAAGATTATGTTATTTATACTAATCTCAATAAAAGTAGTATCAGCCTTCTTGTGGGGTTGATTTCCTGCTCTTGTCTTCCTAGCGCAGTTGAACTTGAGGGCAACTTTACTTTTGGCTGGAATAGTAGGGTACCTGCTGAGGTCCATCACTAATAATCTCTTCTAGGCTTTTTTGCCTAGATTCTACCTATTCCTCTGTCCTTTCTGCGAGTATGTCAGTGATTAAGCAATGGGAAGCAAAGGCAGCCTGCACTGTTTTTTCCTAACAAGGTACAGATTGGTCTCTTAGGTCATGAATAGTGGCAAAGAGGTTCCCTAGTCTAAGAAGGGGTAAAGGGGTAAAGTTTTTCTGTAGAAGACTACTAGCCCTTAGTCTTGGTGATTGGGGATCTGGTGGGAACTTGGCTTAATGCATCTTGAGGGAACCAGTTGGTTGATGCTGAAATAATATGTAGTAGACATAGGAATATGCACATGTCTGTGTGTATTTCAGTGAAGAACTAACCCGGTCTTCAGGCTGTGCTCCTTCAATTCCCCAGGAATGGATAGCTCCTTCTGTGCATTCAGGCACAGGCTCAAATCCAGCTCCAACTCCACCAGCAGATCTGGATCCCAAATAACCAAAACAATCACTCTGTGACATCAGAATGGGTACCACTGATAAACCAAAATGAAACAAAAAGTTATGCATTTTTCATCAGTTGACTAAATATTTGACCTGCATATAAATAGAGGCACACAATAACACGGGGCAAGTCTATTTCTAGTCTACAATGTCTACCAAAGCCATATAATCATTTCTGGAAGCTCTTGCTCCAGGTACCATTACAGCAGGGGTGTCAAACTCAAGGCTCGGGGGCCAGATCTGGCCTGTGGGATACTTAGATCTGGCCGACGGAGCCACCCTGAAAACAGCAAAGGACCACTCACAGTGCCTCTGCCAATTAAAAGAGAACTCGGGAGGTCTGTGTGCAGCCTCCCCCGAGCTCCATTTTTGCTGCCAGAGGGTTGCAGGAAGTTGTCCCAGCCGAAAACAGAGCTTGGCAGCCTGTTTTCGCTGGCATAGGCTTGGGCCCCCACAGGTGTCCCCAACATGAGTGACATCAAGCTGGCCATGCCCACCCCTGCCACAGTGCCCCTGGACCCCCAAGGTTAAACACAACCCTGATGTGGCCCTCAATAAAATTGAGTTTGACACCCCTGCTTTACAGGTTGAAGTCTGTTGAGTGGGTGTTTTGGCACAGTTATCTCAGCACCCCCCACCATTTTGGAAATCTTTTTCTGTACATGCACACCTGGCATCTACATTATTGATTTTTGGTGCTAGACAAATACCTCTTAAATTTTAATTCCTTCAGTACCATGTATTAATCATTTTATATCTGTTATCTAGAGCTTTTAAAGTCCTTTTTAATGATAATTTTCATTATTTAATGTGGGTTTTTTTGTAGTTTAAGAGACATTCTTGGGATTTTTTTTTCTTTGAAAATCACAATCACATTCTTAAATGAGCAAACATTTTTCAGGATAATACTGAAGATTTTTGAAAATTAATATTATCAGCATGTGCATTTCCATTCAGCAGATGATGCATCTCAAGACGCACATCATGAGCAGAACACTTTTTAAATGTGTTTTTTTTCCTTCTTGCATGGACAAATTGAGACCAGATTCACAGAAACATTTTAGTGTTGTCAGTATACTGTACCAGGCAACCTCTAAGGCAAAGTTTGAGAATGCAAACAGAATTGTTTTCGATCATTCCTTCCCAATTAATGGGAATCAAATGATGTATTTTTATAGAAACATTATATATTGCAGCAAAAAGTTTTATAGAAGTCAAAATCATATTATATAGGAAAGACATTTTTTTAAAAAATAATAATTCTATCCTTATAGAATACTTACATACAAATATTAATCCTCCAAGAATCATCAGGCCAATGGCAGCAGCGCTAAGAGACGTATCTCCACCATTTTCCCTTGCTCCTCCTACTCCAATCGCATGTCCACTAGTGCCACTATGTGAATGTCCACCACCGGCCCCACCTGTACTACCGTCATCTCCACCACCGCCACCTCCACCACCATCAGTATCACCTCCACCTGTTCCCCAACCACCTGTTCCCCAGCCATCTGTTCCTCCACCACCCGCTCCTCCACCACCAGCTCCGCCACCACCAGCTCCGCCACCACCCGCTCCACCTGCTCCTCCACCACCCGCTCCTCCACCAGCCATACCTCCACCACCTGCTCCTCCACCACCTGCACCTCCACCACCTGCTCCTCCACCACCTGCTCCTCCACCAGCTCCACCACCACCAATAATTATAACTTTGACTCTCTTGCTAGCTAGTCGGGTACACATTCCATTTTCACTACATTCACAGGCTTGCAGAGGAATTACCAGTGGCCTTTGACAGCTTTTGCCACTGTTGTCGGTCACTTTGACTTGGACCTCATAAATTATGAACTCTATGTTGTTAGTGAACAGAGCTGCAGAAGTACCTGGAGGGAGAAATAAGGGAAAGGACTATATTAAGAACTCTGCTTTGAAATCTCTATAATTAAAGTTCATTCTGCTAAATAATTATTGTGACTTTGACTATGAAAATTCAATGAACAAAAAGTCTCGAGCAGGATAAGCATAATATATATGGATGTGTACGTGCATGTGTTTGTGTGTGTATGTATACAGGTAATACTTGATATACAACCAAAACTGAGACCAGAATTTCTGTTGTAAATCATTATGGTGGTAACTTGAGTCATACTTAGTTTTATAACAATTTACATGATCATTAAGTGAATCCAACTTCTCCAATGGGATTTTTTTGCTGGAAATTAGCACAAAAGGTCACAAATCATAATTGCGTAACTGCAGGAAACTGCAACTGGTTGCAAATACAAGCTGGTTGTTAAGTGCCTGAATTTCAATCATGTGACTGCAAAGATGATGCAAGAATTATAAATGTGAGTAGGGATCATAAAGCACTTTTCCCAAGGCTGTTGTAACTTTGAACCATTATTAAACCAAGAGCCATATATCGAGGACTCTCTGTGTATCAGTTTGTATATGGACTGATCACAGTGATAGCCTTCAACTTCATATGGTTTTTTTCTTCCCCTTCTCCCCTTGTCAGCCTTGCAAGGTGGGTAAAGTCAGGAAGCAGGAATTTCCAGAAGTCTTGGAATGCACCTTAATGTGGTTAAAGTATTGTAACAGAAACTTAAAACTCCATCAAAGCCCCACTCTACTTAAACTTATATATAATAAAATCAAGGCACAGTTGACTTGAATTTCTTTCTCATGCTTTCCATTTTACTGAGATTAAGCTATATTTTCTGAATTGAACCCAACGTATTGTCACACAGCCCTCTACTCATATCCTACTAAGTTTGAAGGATCTCTCAGAGCTGCTGGGATGAAAGTGAAAAAAGTGAATTTTCCTAAAATTCTGAAATAATTTCCTAAAAATACACATTTTGGAACCCTACAGCTTGGGCTGAGAAGTCTTCAGAAAATACAATTCAGCACACAGCTGCACAGGCATACATGCACATACACAGGCGCACACATCTCCTGCAGCTATGTTGCTATATTAGAAATACTTTTCAATTTGAAGAAGTGATTTTGGATGGGGAAGAAAAGTAAATACTCAGTACTGCACTCATTGAATTGTTCAAAGATAACTGTGAGAGAGATAGTGGGCGAAATGGAGACTTCCTAGCATTTCATGAATTGTTTAATTATTTTGAGTTAGAAAGAGGCATTTAGATTTATGAATTACATTATGTGAAACCATTGCATGTAGCCTTTGCCAAAGCAAGGCCTCAGTTTTTTATTTGCAATGGGCCAGAAGGAATAATCTTCAGGAGGCTAAGAAGACAATGGTCAGATAAAAGAAGTCCAAGTCAGAACTGTAATCTAAGAAAGCATCTTAAACAGGACCATCTTTCGTGAAGATAAAGGGAGGGCAAGGGGAAGCACATTCTGACTTGTAAAATTCGGTTATCATAGCCCTATAATAAAAGTAGTAATGGATTGCATTACTTTCATTTCCTACACTGTTTTAGCACTATAAAGCAGTATATAAGTTTAAATGCTATTGCTATTTGATAAAAAAAATATTTTGTTTGTCGTCCTACCGCTGGCCATGTTTCCTCCTTCTCTAAAAATAACCAAGACTAAGAGAAATTGATGTCCCTTCCCAGTAGTGCTGGGATTCGTATACCACTGATGGATTAACCTTGAAATTCAGATAGTTCAATAATTCAGAGCAATAAAATATACCAGTTAAAATATCCCCAGAGCTATTTCATTACTTTGGTTTCCTTGTATGATCCTATTCATTAGCTTATTGCCTATAATGAGTGGAAAAAATATCATTTGACAAAAAATTCAGAAAGAAGAAAGGTTGGGGGGGGGGGGGAGAGTGTAGTACAGTTGTCTGAAATGAACATTTGACCTTAAGACTTCTTTAAAAAGCCCAAGCCACCACCAATAGATTCTTGTGTGCAACCATGGGTTGCACATACAGTATTCCACATGTGAGAAGAATGTTAGGCAGTCCCCAGCAAGAACAGATATAAAGGGAGGGTTGAGTGAGGAAGAAGAGCATAATTATTAAGATGGAAAAACTCTGAACATGTAATTTCACTCACCATTTACTACTTTGATATCCCACCAGCTGCCTTGAGGCTGAGCGATAATGCTAAATGTAAAGGGTGGCCCATATGGAGAATCATCTGGATCTTTAGCTGTGATCACCACAGTTGGATTGTTCATACACACTCTCCTGATCTCCTCAGTCACAATGGGACAGTTATCATTGACATCTTGAATAGTAAGCATAATAGTGCCAGTGGCTGTTGTGTAAGGGCTGTCTGCAATAAATAGTACCCAAGAAGGAAAATCGGATCAAATAAACGTCATCACATAACATTGCACAAGTACACAAGTTGTGCATAATGTTGCAAAGTACAATAAACTCAATGCATAAATAGGATCCCAAGGATAATCTGGAAAAGTTAATTTGAGCAGATAAGGAAATAGGAAAAAAGGGGCAGTTTTTAATAGCTCAATAGCATGTATAATTTTAAATGCATCTTCCAAAATGAAGGCTAATTGAAAAAAATTCTCAATTATAACAATTAAGGATAACACTGAAAGCATATAAGAGCAGTATCCAGAGTTTGTCAGATCTCTAAATATTGTATATAGCAAAGATTAGCAAAGATAAAATTAAAAAGTCTGGGCAGAAGTAGTGGTTCTCAGCACTGTAAAAATTTTGCATTGCTGGGCAGCTGAACAGCAAATTGTTAGCAATGCATTTTCATGGCTGGCTAGGGAATTCTGGGAGTTGAAATCCACACATCCTAAAGTTGCCAAGGTTGATAAACATTGCTATAGTGATTTAAAACAGTCAGCAAAATCTTTGTTGCAGATGTTTAGGAAAGTATTTACTTTCTTTATTTAAAAATTACATAGGGCACTTTCCCATTTAGTCAAAACAGCTAGGGTTATAACTATTTAGAACAATAATTTCATATTTCTAATGAGCAATAATGAATATTAAAACAAAATTCATGTTCTTACCTCTGGTAATAGCAAGGACTTCTGCTGTGTATACCCCATTGACTACATAAATTGATTCTCGATCAATAATTTTCTTAAAAGTGATGACAGCAGTTTGAGGATTGATTTGAAACCAGGCAGCAGGATCACGGCCTATCTCATACCTATGTTTTCAACAATGGAAATGCTTAGAATGAATTATAAATGTTAAAATAATGGCAGACACTAAACTTTTGCTAATGCAGACTGTTAAATTTGATTGACTCACTACATGAAAAAAAAATTCTGACAGTTGCAGTCGTAATAATTTCTGAGGGTGCTAGTCAATTTTTAAAAAAATAATAGCACAGGAATAAAATGTATCCCCCCTCCCCCGGTCAAAGTACCAGCTAATAATCACACTGAAGCATTTCACACTGCACTATTGTAAGCAATTTTCAAAAATGCAGAATATTTTAATGTATTTTTTGTGTCAGAAGGTCTCAAGTTGTCTGCAACCCTTATAAAGGCTGAATATCAATTCTGGATTTACTGGCTGAATTTTGCCATGAGACATTGAGCACCACACTAGTTAGGCACAAGTTAGCTTAAATCTTGAGTCAAATTGCTAATGCAGACTGTGAAATTTGATTGACTCATTACATGAAAAAAAAGAATTCTGACAGTTGCAGTCCTAATAATTTCTTGAGGTTGATTTATGTTGAATATCCCATTTTGGGGATTTGAGAAATAAAAGTTCTAAATATATACAATATAGTTAAACCAAAACCCTATAAAATCTTAATTTATTGAGGGAAGACAAAATTGAAGTAGAGAATTGGTAATTGGTAAGCAGTTGGTTATCCCTTCCAATTTTATCTAGCTGAATACATAAATTTCATGCCAAAGGCTATCTTACCGAATATTTGTGGCAACTTTTCCAGTATCCTGATCAATGGCTTGGAATGTCGCAACAGTGTAAGTGCGTATAGTTTCAATTGTTAAGCTCTCAGATGCAGTGATGGTCAGTGTAGATGGACTAAATGCTGGTCCTTCAATTACATTAGTTATCTGTACCACAATTGGGGTTCCAACAGATCGATAAAGAGAAGCCACAGAAGAGTGGAAAGGGGCAACGTTTCGCACACCAATATTAATGTTTATGGTTGAAAATTGTTCATAATCTATTTCCTAAAATAAAGAAATGGCATGCATGAATTTTACATTTGAATTATTTGTGCTTGTGTGTATATATATGTGAATGCATCAAGAAATTCACTTGTCTCTTAATAGTATATCCAGACATATAGAACATTTTGTAGAGTGACAGATCATCCAAGAATAGGAAGAAATCATTTCTGAAAAGCCAGCCATTCAAAAACTTCTAACTACAAATAAAGTTAGATTGGAGGTTCTGCTGAATGTTAAAAAGATTGATGCTAATGAAATCAAATACCATAAAAAATGAACTCCATTAGGAATATGAAGCTTCTATTATTCTCAGATGGACAAGTTAAATTAGTAATAATCAGCTTAAATGATGAGTGTGTATAATTACAGAATTTAATATGTAAATAAAGTCAGATACTGATTACAGCAGAGATCTCAATCATTTTAACATCTCCCTCTTATATTGTGGTGCTTAGCTGCCAACTCCCAAACAGCTGATTGTTGTGCTGCCTGCAGTGACCCAATTCCATACCTGTTGCTACCCTTCTCCTCATCTTCAATAGTCCCCCCCCCCTCCAAATTGACTGCATCCAAGGCAGGCCTCCTCTATCCTGTCTCACCCTGCCTTTGGTAAGTTACTACTTCTATCACATAAAGATTTAACAAACAATTTAGCTGGTTTTGATTCATAGCCAAAGGCATACAATGACATAGTTTGGAAAAGACTGCAGAAGTTAAACTAATAATTTTCCTTTTAAAAACAAAATAATCTTTATCCAGATATTCTTCTGGGCGCTACTATTATAAATAAAATGCCAGGGGAGATGTTTGATTATCACATACTCAGAATCAAAATGTAGGTTTTGAAAATAATAAAAAAGAAAAATTTGAAATCCATACCTTTACAACACTCAAGATACCTTCATTAGTCGTTCTATCTACTGTGATCTCAAAATTGTGGTTTTCATTTCCAGAGATAAAGAAAAATTCTGCAAACCAGTTATCTGTAAATTCTTGATCTGCATCAAATACCTGTATCCTCAGCAGCTCCTGACTCAGTGAATTTTCTAGAATTGATACTGAAAACTAGAAGAGAAAGAAAATCATAGCTGGCAGCAAAGACACGTACTAGATTCCTATCACTTTGAAAGAAATTTGGCATAATACTGTCACTGTGGTTTCAAATGCTACAAATAGTAAGTATCCACATATTATAAATTATGATATTAAAAATAGTTGTACTTCATGCTTACTTATTGGGTAAGACAAAAACATTGTGGATAAACATGGGGAAAGTGTTTTTAGTCTGGAGAAGTTAAGACTTTTAAAATGTTTTTTTAATCTTGAGGACAGCTTGATCATACACTTAAACATATGAGCTTAATGCTGGGTCAGGCTACAGAGCGTCACCTTGCCACTGCAAAGTTTACTTATAATGCTACCTGCATTGGATAGAATGAGTCCCCAAGAGAATACAACTTCATACATGAAAGGTTACTCACTGTAGAAATATATACTGTAGACTCAAAACAGAGTTAGCAGCATGACCTCATTCGTGACATATGTATTCCAGAGAATAGAGTGAATAAATGCATTGAACGCAAAAATCATCCTTAGTTTGCTATAATGCTTCTACTTGCTCACTTTTCTATTTCCATCATACTATGAGACTATCTGGTAGAGCACAGTAATTTCCTCTCTTCATTTTTCTCTCTGCTTTTATTGGGTAGCAGTGTATTAGCACTCAAGATGACAACACGACTTCTCAAGCTACATTGTAATTCCTAACTGGTTCGTACAAGAAATAAATGAATTGCTAAAACTCTCTATGGACTATACCACTTCAATATTTGGAGAAATAAACTGTGTTTTTGTATGCTCTTCAGCTTTTAAGAGTAATATGTCATTATGAATAAGCAACTGCAATGTCAGGAAGAGGAATCAAGCCTTCAATTGTTTTCTGTTATTTGGGTAATTTATTTTAGTGAAAAAGTTCATTCATTACATGGTCATATGGAAATAGCACTTCTGGCCTAGGTATATACATGACTGTGTTACTTGTCCTATGTATTTTTTCATCTGAAGATCATTTTACACATGGTTACACAGCAATGAACATAGATTTTCCCTGAGTGTTGATTCACCAATGGATGTAGTCAATCCCATCTGTTTTAGAGGTCAGATCTATTTTATATAATTTATGATTCTTTTAAAAATTATTTTCATTATTCCTGACTTATGTTTTTTTTAAAAAAACCCTATCATCTTTAATGCATGAAAAGGTTCTTTGGACTAAGAAGTTGTTGGACTTTGGACTAAGAAATTGGCTTACCTGGCTTGATTCTGAAACAGCACATATTGCATTGATAAATTTTTTGGCTTTAGGAAAATTTGAATCAAGCTCTTAAATTATTCTCTCTCCTTTGGAAAGAAAAGTATAACTATGTGGACCAAATATGTATCCATTTCATCCTGGACATCCACCCCTTATTTCTGATCCACAGAAGTTGTTAGAGAATGTAGAAATAATTTCTATCTTGATGATTACTTATAATTCAATCATAACATCTCTTTCTATTGCTTACGAAAGGAGCTAGGATGACATGATGGTCCTGAAGTGATTAGGAAGTAATAGACAGAAAAGTGATATCACCAGCTTTCCCCCCAGTGATAGCTGGAGGAAAGACTGAAAACAGAATATTTCATAAGAAGGATATGGGGGAGCTGGCTTTTGGATCTAATGAATCTAAAACTACTACTTTTCTGGAAATTGATCTATTGATTTCCACTAATCATCCACTGCAGTGAGTGAGTATGGAAGAACAATTGTAAAATCAAGAATTTCCAGACTGAAAAAACAATAATAATGGATCATATCAGCTATTAGTAAGCTTACCGAACTCTGAGAAAGAGTAGGAAAATTATCATTCACATCCTGAACTTTAACCTGACACAAACATTCTGATGATATTCCATCTGGCCCTCCATTTCTGTCGGAGGCTTTGACAACCAGAGTATATTGACTTTGTTCCTAAAGAAAATACGGAAGAGAAGAAACAGAAGAGGGAATAATGTGACAAATGCTGTAAAATCACATAACTAATAAAGAACATTGCTCTGATCCAGAGCTTTTTAATTTTATAAAATATGGATTTTATTTTATATTTTGTAATATGTATTATTGCCTTTATACTATACACATTTATCTTTTTCTTTGGACTTTAATTGAAATACTTGTTTGGATTAAATGCAGTGTACTAATAAGATTTACTACTAAATTAGCAAGCACTGGATTACAATGTTAGAAATAATCAGAGCCTCGCCTACTTTGCTTGTTTACTCAATTTATATGGTTGGCCATCTCACATACATGATGCTGGATGGCTCACAGAATTAAGTAAAAAAAATAAAATAAAAATATTAAAACAAATTAAAACCATAAACCATAATATCTGGGAGAGTGCAATGCATACAATTACTAGTAGAATAATAAACGCCCCATGCCTACATCAAATTCCCCAGGCATAATGATAAAATCTGTCTTAAAGGCCTTCTGAGGGGCCAGCAGGACTGGGGCTGGTTTTAATACCAAGGGAATGTTTTTCTAAAGGATGGATGCTGTGGCTGAAAAGGGCCACCTCCTGTAGATATAGAGTTTAAAATTTAAAATTTTGAAATGAATCCAGAAACAAATCGGCAATCAATACAGCTAGTGGAGCAAAAGTGTAACAAATACTGATCGAGGAGCACACACAATTATCCACACTGCTGTATTTTACATCAGTTTCCTATCCAAATGCCCACTGTCTCCAGATACCAGCACAGGAAATCAACAGTATTACTTAATTTGCTGGAGCTGAACATTCCTATTGATGACACCTCACCAGATAGCTATGGGTGACTTTGTTCAGTGTGTACATTTTAAACTGGAACGGAAAGAGTACCAAGTCACATGGGAATCCACAGAGAGCAGGCCAAGGGCCAGAACTCTTTCAACACTAACTAAAACTAGCTGGATCAACACAATATAGTGCCACCCATTCCCAATCCCTTGAGTTGGTCCAGAAAGATACCCAGGTCAGTGATCCTGAAGATCATAGAGAAACTTCTGTCTTTTTCTTAGTCATTTTCATGACATACATTTAACTTGCGGCTGTTATTGAGTTTCCAGAAATCTCACTTATTTTTAACATAAGTATTTGTTTATTTTGAATGAATATTTTGAATGAATATTGATTTTATGAATTTTATTTTTAACATATTTTGAAAGTATTTGTTTAAGTATTTTTTGAAAGTATTCATTTATTTAACAAACTTACATAGCTGCCTAGCCATTGGAGGAAACTCTGGGTAGTGAATAGAACAAAATATGCAGAACATTGAAAAAAACAATAAATAATATGGAGGCCCGATAAAACTCATATTCATCCATCCTCCACCCCATGCCAGTTCCATCAACATCCTGGCCACAGAATATTCTGTTTTCTCAACAGTATTTTTTCTGTAAAAGGCTTTTCTGTTTTGCTTTTACCTCTCTATCAAGAGCTTTCGCAATGTGAAGTTCTCCATTTTCTGTGTTCAAGATAAACAGTAATGGGCCTGAAGGAGTCTGGCTTTCAATCTTGTAGGCAATTTTGGAATTTAAATTATTTGGCTCATCAGCATCTGTAGCAGTTATTTTCATTACAAATGTATCTGGAAGGGGCGAAAAGGCAAAAGGGGGGAAAAGCTTCAGATATTAATATATTAAAATCATAAGTGCCATCATTGTGAAATAGCTAATTTAACATGCTTATAAAGAAGAAAAAGGAATGCATTTTTCCATACTAGGAAGGCAAATTCATGGGAGTTCATAGATCATTTTCTACTCATCTGCTGCCAAGGATGTACCCCATGAAAAAGGAAAGATTTTTCTAATCTATTTAAACAAACAGCTTGAGTTAATTGTAATGTAGTGGTTTGCTTTAATTCTATTCTTAGGTTATATATTTGTATTACTTTGAGATTATTTCAATTATCTCAGAACAAATACTGTATTTTTGGTTTGCCAAGTGTTTGTCTATAGAGTAATATTAAGTGATAGTGATCATAAGTGGGAAGTGATTAGGTAAATGATAGCAATAAAGGAGAATATTTATAGCTCAGGACAGTCGTGGGATTCAATTTTTTTTTCTACCAGTTCTGTGGGCGTGGCTTGGTGGGCGTGGCAGGGGAAGGATACTGTAAAATCTCCAGTCAGAGGTGGGATTTGCCGGTTCTCCAAACTACTCAAAATTTTCGCTACCAGTTCTCCAGAACTGGTCAGAACCTGTTGAATACCAACTCTGGCTCAGGGTTGAAATGAGGGGTCCTTGGTGCTCTTTGAGTTTGGTTGTTTTCTTGCAGACATTTAATTACCCAAACTATAATAAATTGTACAAATATTATTATACAAAACCTGTTTATTACATGCCAATGTTAGACACTGGGTGCAACATCTCCTTACATATGATTATTTTGACATAATCTCAATTTGCTGGTGACAGATGCCATAGTAATTAGACCCTCTTAGGTCCTAAATGTTTCTGGTGGACAGGTGAAGCTCTGATTATACAGCTAGTCCTTGACTTACAACAGTTCATTTAGTGACCGTTCAAAGTTACAGTGTCACTGAAAAAAATGACATATGACCGTTTTTCACCCTTATGATTATTACAGTAACCTTATGGTTACATGACCAAAATTTGGATGCTTGGTAACTGATTCATATTTATGACAGTTTCAGTGTGCCTATATCATATTATATATGTCTCACTTAGCAGCATAAATTTTGTGCTCAATTATGGTCATAAGCAGATGTGGGCTGCACTTATGTTAACAACCAGTTTGTTAACAACTCAGGCAGCACTGGCTTTGCTTTCACGTGCCCCTTTGGGTCTTCAAACATGCAGCTAATTAACTCAGGCAGCTCTGGTGATTACAGGAGGAGTGGCATGGAACTCAGCTGGGCAGAGTGGGTGGGGGGAACGAGCCAGAAAGTTAGTCATATATGGAAAGGATAGCGCAAGGGCAGGTGGGTGGGTCCAGCCAATGATAACAACTGCTGGTTCATCCGAAACGGTGCGACCAGGCAGCAGCCCACTACTGGTCGTAAATCAAGGATGACCTGTATACACCACTGTGGATTAATCAAAGAATTGAAAAATATATCAAATGCAATCAAGAATAAGCCAGGGAATCATAAAAGGTCACACAACTCATGTACTCATCATAGTGGAAAAATGTGACTTACTGTTACAAAAATCAACTTTATTCACTGACCAGGGTAGCATATATTGTACTTTATTATTTATTTATGATCAAGAAATATCCTTAGCTGAAAAAAGAAAAACTCAATTTTTCAGTTTTCAAAGTGAGACCTTTATCAGTAGTAACGCAAATGCCAATGTGTTTAATATGGGAGAATTAAACCCCAAGCTTAATTTTTCTAGTGACAAAAATGGGACCCATGGGCCAATCCTGTGCTTCTTCCTAAGTTAAATTAATGAAGTCTTTACTTCCAAGAAAGATACCACTGCATTCATATGCACATTTTCCAGAAATTAGAAATTATACAGTTGACAAAATGATACATGAAACCATACATATTGGCTACTATTCTGGGCGGGGTGCATTGATTTAGAAAGTACTTACTCTCCATGCTGCTTTCTATTATTGACCCTGAGAACATGTGTTGTGTAAATATTGGTGGATTGTCATTTATATCCAGAACCCGAACACGAAGTTCAAGAGGTGTTTCTATTGATTTTCCAGTCATAACATTTATAGCGTGACAGTGAATCTGAATTAAGACATTAAAAAAAGATTAAAAGCTTTATTCAAAAGGTCTATAAAGTAGTCAAAACACTTTCAACAGTGAGCTAAAGAAGCTTCATATCATATTGCAAGAGTTAGGTCATCGACCTAATTACAAAATGATCTCTGACTTTTCTCATATTCCAGATGGCTAACAGTGATAAATATAACCATAGTAACTCATATAAGAGTAAAAGCAAGATAATCAAAAATAAAAAAGATTTATACCAACTACCCAACAAAAGCACCCCAATTTTATATTAAAAACCATCAACATTCTAGAAAGATGCATAGCTCAAATTCTTATTCTAAAACTGAAAACTAAAGTCTCATTAAAGCGACTAACGTTTCCATGAAAAGGAAAATGTAGAAGTTATTACCAGCTGCTGCAAAGCCATATTTTGGGAGTTTTAATAAATATGCTTAAAATATCAAGTGGTCTCAGGAAATCACCTTTTATACAGTGGTGAGTAACCATTATTTAGATACTGTAATCATAACCCATAACAGGTAAAGACCTGTTTTGCCAATATTACTTACCACAAATATTGGAGTCTCCTCTCGATCTACTATTTTTGTTATATTAATTTCACCAGTCTTCTGGTTGATGACAAATACTCCCACGGGATGTTGATCAATTCCTACTCCACTTATTTTATATATAATTGGCTGGGTATCTGCACAATCTGATCGGATCTGTTTTAGAAAACCAAACCAAAAATATTGCAGTCTTTTATTTAAGGTTATTCATTAACTTTAAATAATGTGATAAACTTCTAGTTCTGGTATGGCTCAGAATCCTTAAGGCATCTTATAACTGACACCATTTTGACAGGCCTGAATAGGTGCAGTTCATTAGGAGGTGGCTTTAATTTAAATAATTCTGATTTGCTTGGTTGACCCAGGTCATCAAAAAATGAGCATTGTCCTTGATAGAGCAAAGAAACAGTTTTCCCAAGAAGACTGGATTTTACTCAGCCTTCAGTACTGTAGAGCAAAGGAAAGCTCACAGAAGAAAGAAAGGAGCATAAAAGAAAGGAGAATAAGACCCTGTCTATGAAACTTCAAGCTGAAAATCCAGTTAATTTATCTCCCACTTTCTTCTTGGTGATGAACATGTGCTGAAGTCCTTCTTGATTAAGTCACAAAGTAATTAGAAAAATTAGGCTGAGTGTATTGATTTTATCTGGAATTCTTGTGTGGTTTGACTTATTTTTGCAATATGTCCCTTTTCTCAATTCTTGTTTATAATTATGCATTTGGCTTCCTTAGTTCTATATAGAAATGAAAGACTTCCCAATATTCAAAACTACATTGTTCCATATTTAGCTCCTTGTGCTTAGGATTGTAACAAATTTTGTTCTATATCCCTGGTCTTTGGCAGGAAAATTCAAAACATCTTTTCCGGTTTTTAGACTTGGGAGAAGCCCTAAGTATAAGGACTAAGAACTTCTCATCTGATAGATTGAGGTGGAATGTATGTGTTTAGTAGCAACCTCTTGTAATTGTCTCTTATTGTAGAACTCTCATGATAAAAATGTTTGTTAAGGTAATTTTAAATGGTAGTTCCTCACTGATTTAGAGATTTTTGAGATTTCAGTTTTTAATGTGAAAACTTAGTAAATGAAAATCAGGGGAAAGGTATGATTTAGCACCACTTAATTATTATAATGATACATATTCCAGTGCTGAGTCCAGATAACATTACCAATTTGGTATTGACTGTAAAATCTAATAAAGAAGTTATGTGCCCAGCAGGATCTATGGCAGAATCTTTTTTTGCATAATATTTTTATTTCTAATAAAATTACAGTATATAAACAGTGCAATAAAATTCAATTTATATATGTAAGGATTGGAAAGGGAGACAAGAAAAACAATTCATAAAACCAGATACTAATAATTCCTTAATATTCCTCCCATACATTAATATATTTATCTGGCATAAAGCAGGTATGGTTCGCCCCTGCTTAATATAGCATATAAAATTAGACCAAATATATGAGAAATCTTTAATTTTAGTTTGAAAGAATGCAAGTGAAAAATGTAGCTCAATTTTTAGCTAGGGCAATATGCAAAGTCTTTTTATACACATGTTCCTAGTACTCCAAAACAAAAATAATTGTGTATTTAATCTCTTCCCCCATTTCTGTGGGGAAAAGCACAGAAAGAGAAGACATTATAGTAAAATTGGTAGGGAAAACAGCAAGCTTACCTATGGAAAATATTTGAGCTCTACATAAAACTCCATTGATGAGACAGAATAATTGCATAATAAAAACCTGGTCTGAAAATTCCCTTAGCCAATATGTTGCTTTTGTTTGCTTACCTTTTTGCAACTGTTTGAATTTTATCTATATAAAATGCTTGGAACTTACTCTTGCAATTGGGTTTCTTTTTGAATTATCTTCTCCTTCCCTACAGGCAGCAGCAAATTTAATCCATTCTCGTTTCTGCCTCCGATGGGATTTCCATCTCTCCATTCCTTTTTCATTCCATTCTTTTAGCTTGAATAAAGAACACACCAATATTATTGGACTAACTAAATGACGTCGCAGGTATACAATAGTACATTTAAAATCCAAAATAGAATAGGCTAGCTGCACATTATCTGTTTCTTTTTGCTTAACAAGAAGCTTTTCACTACTCTTTTTAACTTCACAGAATATTTCCAGATACCCAGATGTTTTAAGTGGAATGATCTAATCCTAGGAAGCTGTACACTGGGAAAGAAGTATTTTATTTATTTATTTATTTATTTATTTTTGTCTATTGCTTACAAGATAATAGGTATAAGTAAAAACATAATTATGAATACTTGGATACATATAAGAAAAAGTTATCATTAAAATGGCTTCTCTGTTAATGTGAGAATTTGAATCAGAGGGCCATACTATCTCAAGACAGAGAGCAGTGGGTCATTGGGAAAACTGGTGACTCCAGGCCAAGATCCTGAGGGAGGCAGAGAAGTAATGTGTGAAAATAAGATCATATACTTAGAATGTTTTCCCTGTAGCTATCAAAGGCTCAAGCAATAAGGAAGGCTGAGTCTTGCATATTGACTTACAATAAATATTTTTCTAGCAAGGCTCAATTAGATTTGTATTGTACACATGACTAGCAAATGAATTGAAGTGATTGTTACCTCAACATGAAAAGTGCTGATGCTGAAATCTAAGGACACCTGAAAAAGAAACAAAATAAGGATAAAATATGCGTAATGGTTTCGTTAACTCTGACTATATTGTTAGATAGTTGAAATACATGGAGAAGGAAAAAAAAGAATCCTATTGCACAAGATCATAATGCAGAAACTGGTTTCATGTATATCTCTTTCCTCACAACACAGCTCTGCTTTTTCTTTGAATTAGTGGTTACTTCAGTTTAAATTAGCACATCTCTCAATTTTATTTTATTTTTTGCCAAATGACCTACATTTAAGTTTACCTCCACTTGCCCCTGACAACTGGCAATGTTGGTTGAGGCAGGTTTCATAACATTCAGAGCATCATGAGTATCCCACTTTTGGTTTCAACAAATATGATTAAAAAACTCCAAATTGATAAAATGAAGTTTGATTTTATTTTAAAATGTAATATTTTAAACATCCTAAAACTCAAAAGTGTCAATAGCAGGCTAGTCTCTCTCTCTCTCTCTCTCTCTCTCTC